CGCGGCGCCTGGGGGGGGGCCGCTGAAGGGGGGCCGCTGAAGGGGGGCCGCGCGTCGGCCCCCCCCCTCCCGTCGTCGTCCCGGCCCTGCCCTGCCCGGCCCTGCCCCGTCGCCCATTGCGACCCAGTCGCGGCCCCGCCCTGGCCCTCCCCCGTCGCTTGCCCCGGCCCTGCCCCGGCCCCGCCCCGGCCCCGTCGCGGCCCTGTCCCGGACCTGCCCCGACCCTGCCCCCGCCTTTTCCCGTCGCCTGTCGAGGTGGACCCGGGGGGGGGGGGGGGGGCGCGCGTCGCCCCTCCCGTCTTCGTCGCGGCCCTGCCCAGCTGCCGCCCCTGCTCCTCCTCCTCCTCCGTCTCCCACTGCTGCAGCTGCCGCTGAGGAGGGTGGGTGTGTGGGAGCCGATGGAGTGGTGCTAGGGGGTGGAGTATGAGTAGTGCTAGAGGTGCAGCAGGGGGTGTGTGAAAGGGGGGTGAGACAGTTAGAGGGAGGTTGGGCGGAGGCAGCAGTCGTGTCGCCTGCAGCGCCAGTAGTCCGGAGGCTACAATCTCCGGTAGCCCAGCGAGCCTACTGCGCCAGTCGCCCGTGGGTCCGTTGCTCCTGCAGCTCAGAGTTAGTCGCGGAGCCAGTTACTCCAGTAGTCCGAAGGCTACAATCTCCGGTAGCCACAGTGCGCGCCGCTCCTGTTGCCCGTGTGTCTGCAGCTTCACCTGTCGTCTCCTATCTCTTCTCCTCTCACAGTCCCTCCTCCTTCTCACTTACCGTCTGTGACTGCCTCTAGCTTTGCTTATATTTGTGAACTATAAACTGCTGCTGCTTGTACTTGTGCTCAGAATGTGTGGTGACATTGTGATCTACCCTGAGCTTGTTTTGCTGTTCTTGTTGTGCTGATTACACCCCACTTTGGCTATGGGGGTGTGTCAGAATGTTATGTTTTGTCTAGCCTGCAGTGGGGTACTCAATAGTGAGTACAGCCCAATTTAGGGTTTGCTATATGTACTCAACTGCTTGCTAGTGAAACCTCTCTTTCTCATTTCTAACTTCCTACTGCTGTTTCTTAACACCGAGTAGCTCCCGTCGAAGTAGTGAAATATCTGTGCGTTTTGCAGTAGCAGTTCCAGCTCTAAGCTCCACGTATAGAAGTCTCTGCCTTCAAAACACACACTTGTCTTTATTTTATATATGCTTAAAAACCTTGATTGCGCAGAGAGAATTGCTTCTTCGCTGGGACGGGGAATCTTGGGTGTTGAGCCATTTGTGTCGAGGGAGAAGGTATGCGGGGCGGTATTTTGGCCGTTTGAGGCCGGTTGAGTGGGTTGGGAATATATTCCCGCGTCGCCATTCCGCAATGTTTGGAGTTGTTGCTCCAGGCTGATGAGTCGCTGAAGCATCTGTGCGAGGGCGGCGGTTCCAATCGCCGTCGTTTCCTCGCTTGTCGCAGCCGGGTTGGTATGCGCTTCAGCCGTCAGATTCGTCTGACCACCAGATCCTCCGGCCATTCTCACACGTGAGCGTGTGCCGGACGCCACTTTCCGTTCGCTGAAGATTTCGGAGGTGGCAGTGCGAAGGATTCCCGAGTCACTCTCGTATCATGCTGTGATCAAAAGATGATCGTCCCTAGGATCACCGCAGGAAGGTTTGCACACGGCTGAGTAGTGGTGGTGGGCCCTTGACCTCAATAGCAGAGTGGATGTAAAATGCTTGAGATAATTGAAACATGCAAGTACAAAGGTAAAAATAAGAGTACAGGAAGGAATACGATTCGACCTAGCTAGCCATGTAGTCTAGGGTACATTCCCTTATTACAGCGAAATCCAACCGTGCGGCTCCAGACAGTTACGAAACTTTCTGGGCAGAATCATCGCCACTACTGCTGCCTGATGTTGTCTGCCTGACGGTCCAGATCCTTTTCGTAACCGTACGACGCTTCGTGTCACTTCTGCCTTTTCGCCTTCATCCTTGGTAGTGCGTGCGTCGATTGCTATGGTAAGGAGTGCTCAGTGATGCTTCAATAATTACTATTCGTAATAGTTGTCACATACTAGTGCAATGTGGTTCAATCTGTTCATTAAAACGCTTCCGCTAATACATCATTACTCAGAGTCTTAGTCTTGAAAACGATCCTAAGTCAGCCCAATACTCACCTAGTCCCGTGGAATTTGTCCATCCCATCTCAAAACTTTCCCTCGTGCATTCGTGGACGGATAACGGCCAGTCGATGCTCACCTTATCCCGTGTCCAAAGGTCAGCACAATCGAAAAAAACAGTCACTCGCGAACGTTTTTTCCCGTGAGTGACTGAATTGAGTATTGTGGTACAGTCACCAAGTTGTAGAAGAAAAACATCTACAGTTAATAAACAACAACGGTTGCCTATCATCAGAAATGCTTACCCGGTTACAAACCTAAAGCTCTAGACTCGATTTGTGAGAAAACAAGTAGAACGAGGAGCCATGGCTAGGTAAGCCCTAGCTAGGCAAGAGAAAGTTTAGGCAAAAGAGAAGGGGTTGTACTAGCAGCAGTTGGGATACATATAGCAAACCCTAGTTGGGTTGTACTCGCTATAGAGCACCCCACTACAGGCTAGACAATAACATTCTGACACACCCCCATAGCCAAAGTGGGGTGTAATCAGCACAATGAGCAAGCAGGCATAGAGCAGGAGTTCACAATAGTAAGCAAAGCTAGAGTTAATCACAGCAGGCAAGTGAGGAGGAGGAGGAACTGTGGATGGAGAGAAGATGGGAGGCAACGACTGAAGCTGCAGAGGCACGGGCACAGGAGCGGCTGACTCAGTGGCTACCGAAGCAAGGGCGACGGACTACTGGAGTGACTGGCTCCGCGGCTATAGACGAGCGGCAGGAGCAACGGACCCACTGGCGACTGGTGCAGCAGGCTCACTGGCTACCGAAGCAAGGGCGACGGACTACAGGCGCTGCAGGCGACACGACAGCTACCTTCACACAACCTCCTCCAACTGCCCCACACCCTCGACACACACCCCCTGCTCAAACCCTAGCTCCACTCGCACGGCACCCCCCTTAAACCCTAAACCCCAGGCTCCCACACATCCACCCCCCTCAGCGACAGCTGCAGCAGTGGGAGACGAAGGAGGAGGATGAGGAGGGGACGGCGCACACAACCGACACCCCCACAACCGCCAAAACGGACGGGCGGGGCGGGGGGGTGGCGCGCGCGGCTCCCCAGGGCGCCGCGACGGACGGGCAGGGGGCGGGCGCGGCTCCCCAGGGCGCCGCGACGAACAGGCAGGGGGCGCGCGCGGCTCCCCAGGGCGTCGCGGCGAGCAGGGCGGGGCCGCGCGTGTCCCCAGAGCGCCGCGACGAACGGGCGGGGCGCGCGCGGGCTCCCCAGGGCGCCGCGACGAGCTGGGCGGGGGGCCGCGCGTGCTCCCCAGGGCGACGCGACGGACGGGCGGGGCGCGCGCAGGCTCCCCAGGGCGCGAAACCGCCGCGCGCCTCGGGGCGCACGGCATGAAGGAGACAGCGCGCGCCCTAGGCGCGCTAGAAGCGGAACAGCAGCGGAAGCAGTTAGGTGGCGGGCCCACCCACAGGATCGACCCAAGGGGGTCGACCTGCTCTGATACCATGTGAGAAAACAAGTAGAACGAGGAGCCATGGCTAGGTAAGCCCTAGCTAGGCAAGAGAAAGTTTAGGCAAAAGAGAAGGGGTTGTACTAGCAGCAGTTGGGATACATATAGCAAACCCTAGTTGGGTTGTACTCGCTATAGAGCACCCCACTACAGGCTAGACAATAACATTCTGACACGATTCACATTCCAACTTCATAGTACAGTCACATTTTTGCCCGTGGCGACAAGGGCGAATGTGGCGAAATGCCGAAAAATCACCCATGTCGCCCGCACATGTCGCCCGCTTACCTTGTGTTCTTGTAATGAGCACCGTTTGTACAGTCACATCAGCAGATCTTAGCCGTGGATCGAACTGCTTATCACACTGTCAACCATCCCTTCGTCAGATATTTTGAAAACGGTACATGGTAATTCGTCGACCCCTCCACTTGCGCGTTACAGTCCCATTTTTCCCAGTGGCGAAGTTAGGGAAGGTAGGCGAAATGCATGTGCTTAGTCTGCGCCCTTTGATAAGGCGAAGTTGGGGTTCCCATAATGGGCATCGTTGTACAGAACATTCAGGTTATCCTCCTGACTTCTTATCAGGCCATCTACCTGCGGTCCGCCTGGCGGTGAACGGTCGATGTCAAGCATCTGATGGCGGTGTTGCTCCTCATTTGGCGACAAGAAAGTTCTGGAACTTCTCTGTAACGGTTACGCTGAGTTGAGATTCCTGCTTATGCTCGCATAACGAACGTGTAACAAGCCTGGCGACGTTCGCGAATGTGCTTTGTAGCCAGAACCTGACGCCTCTCGCAACCAACCTCAGTCGCAGTATTTTCTCCTCTCCACGACAACGTGCAGTTGTGGGGATTCATTTTTCTACAGAAAACGGACAACCAACCCAGGTGATTAAGCATTACAGCACGGTTGAAAACGTTATGGCTCGTAAACAACTGTAAACCTTTCGGTTCCGCCACAGCATGACATCGCACTTAGTGTGGCCTTCGGCAGTGCAAAGCAAACACCAACTTCGTGGACACTTAGACGTCGTGACGCCAGATTTGCAGTCTAGATGCTCCTGCAGCGTAGTCTGTTACTTTTCTTGAGACCTAAATAGTGCTGTAATGAGAGTCCAGACAAACTGACAAAAGAGCAATTACTGTTAAGTTTGTAGATTTTCCGCGAAGCGCGGGACGTGACTCGGTGCTCCAGAAACACCGTTTGTTAGTCATTTCGTTAGTGTCATGTTCAGCCTTTGTGCAGATTTCGGAACGTTGCTCGTCTCGGTTGTCCATTACTAGGTTTAGCTGGTCCACACAACAGTGACGCTGGGGAGAAATGTCCGTCAGAGTGCCACAGCGACGACGGTGAGCATACTAGAAGTTATTTGAAAAAAGTACGCACTTACTACGGCTATGGCGGTGCCAGCCACACGTAGATTCCCCCACCGGAGCCCGACAGCGCTCCTGCTTCCACTCGCGGTGCTGACGCTTGCCGCCGTCTCTGAATCCGCAAGATTAGCATCTGTGTCGAGTGTGGTCAGCACCTTCAGTAGTCCAAAACTTGTCAACGACTCGTCTCCGTCCTCCTCCTCTTCCTCCTCCTCTTCCTCTCGTTCCGCCTCCTCGTCCGCCTCCGTTTCCTTCGCCGTTTCCTCGGTCGAGTCGCACGATGACGTGGCAGAGCTGGAGGATGACGTGTCGGCTCCGCGGCGCATGATGCTCGCGCCCGGATGGATGCTTTGGCGAATGGCAAATTCTAACAGATGTCGCCCGTCGTCGCTCCAGGGTTACACGTCAAGTCGCAAGCTCGGCAACGGGTATGTGTGCGGGCGATGGGGGGTAACGGGTATGTGTGGTGGAGATGGGGGGTATCAGTCCGGGCAATGGGGCAACCAACGGGTTTATTCGCGGAGATACCCGCGCGCGCAAGGGCAACTTGCGGAGTAACCCGTGCGTAACAGTTTCCGCGTCCACGCTTTCCCTTGGACCCTCCCCCAACCCCGTTCCCCTACCACGCTGGAAAGCCACGTTCGCCGCGAGGCTGCACCTGAGTTTCGGGCTCGGGCTCAGGTTCGGGCTCAGGTTCGGGGTGGTACCGAAAACTGCCCCATGCCAACCATTCGCTCCCCTTCCCCACACCTTTTTCCCAACCCTCCACCAGCCTCGTGCTGCACTGGAAAGCCGCGACGGGCGAGAGGCTGCGAGCGGCGGTGCTAGCGGTGCTGGCAATGCTGCGGACGGCCCTCCGTTCCCCCATCCCCACTCCCTCACCCCCCATCCCTTCCCCCACCCCCACCCCCACCGCTCCACCCCTCCATCAGCCTCGTGCTGCACTGGACAGCCACGACGGGGAAGCGCCTGCGCGTGGCTGTGCTGGCGCGCGCGGAGACGGAAGCGGCGGCGGCGGGGTGGGTTGCCGTGGGGTGGTCCCCCAAGGGGGACATGGACGGGAGTGACGTGGTTGCGCGTGAGGCGGATAGCGCCTCAGGGTGCGACAGAGTCGCGAACGCGAAGGGTGCAGAACGCTTCAGTGGGGCATTTTGCGATTGGATTGGAAACATCATGCGGTAAGTGGGGATGTGCGGAAGTGGGTGTGGTTCTGAGGAAGTGATTGCGGTTGTGACAAATTGCGAATGGTATGCGCATATCTGCTTTATAAACACAAATATCTGTGTCTAAAAAAAAAAACATCTTATACAAATAAGTATTATCCCTGCGTCTGTGTATATACCTATTTGTGTATCCGATTGTGCAGCTCACCACTCAACGCCTGCAGGTTCACGCGCATCAACGGGGACGGGTCGTCAGTGGGCATCAGGACGTGACTGCATCATTTCTAAACCGGTCTACAATCTTCTTCATCCCTCCCCACCTCTCACTCTCTCCAACGCTCTTCTCCCCCTCGCCCCCACCACTCAACGCCTGCAGGTTCACGCGCATCAAGGGGGACGGGTCGTCAGTGGGCATCAGGACGTGACTGCATCATTTCTAAACCGGTCTACAATCTTCTTCATCCCTCCCCACCTCTCACTCTCTCCAACGCTCTTCTCCCCCTCGCCCCCATCACTCAACGCCTGCAGGTTCACGCGCATCAAGGGGGACGGGTCATCGGTGGGCATCAAGACGTGGGAGGGCTTTAACTACATTGTGTTCGCCTATGGCATGGGCATCACCATCGGGGACCACCAGTACAGGTGTGCACGTGATGTGTACTTGTGTGCTTTCTGGTGTATGGCTGTGGCTGCATTGTCTTCGGATCTGTGGGAGACCCCAAAGGCGTCGAAATCACTTTTGAGAATTCTCTCAAGTGATTTCAGCTTTCTGGTGTGTGGCTGTGACTGCACTGTGTCCGCGTCTATGGGAGACCCTAAAAGGGTCGCCCGCCCACTGCTGGTGGTCCTTGATGGCTGGCTGTGACTGCACTGTGACGTCAGCGACTGCGTTTGTTTTCACTTGCTCCGGTGTGTGGCTGTGACTGCACTGTGACTGCGTTTTTGTTTTCGCTTGCTCTGTATGGCTGTGACTGTGTTCGCGCCTAAGGTATGTTTCTTCCCTCCCACTCCCACTTCCACTCACCCTCCCCTATTTACACTGCCATTCTCTACAGGAACAAGATTGGCTTGACGTGTGGCTGTGGCTTGCCGCCTCATCCCCCTGCTACACCGCCTCAACTCCCCCCTCCCCACAACGCCCCCCCCTCACAACTCACCCCTCTACAGGAACACAATGCTCATTGACTTCACGTGTGGCTGTGGCTTGCTGCGTTTCCGCTGCTGACATTCTCTTAGGGCGACCGCAACTGTTGGTGCTGACTCGCAAACTCGATGGCTTCAGCAGCAGCAGCACCGGATTCGGGCTGTAAGGAAATCTGTCTGTATTGAGGCATGCTATGCCCATTTAGCGTATGACATTACTGGGACCGCGGCCCTGAAACCTCTGCACTGCAGTGGACTAATTGGTGTCATTCGTCCCCCCCCCCCACCCCCCCCACCCCCTAATTATAGTGTACAGTCATTTCGATATTAGTGGAACAGCAGAGCAGTCAGAGTAGAGGTGTTGATTGTATTGATGTTTTAGGAAGGAACCATCATTTGGATTGTGTTTTCTAGTTCAAGCTAAAACTTCTGAGTGCAGAGACGCTTTTGCTGTCAGGAGTGGCATGATATGCCTTTTATTGGATTCAGGAGCCTTGAACCACAGACTTACTACTGTACTGGAAGTACGGTATATAGAGTGTTCACCAGTGTTTGAATATCAGTGTATCTGGTGTTTCATCAGCACATTTGGAAGAATAGCACCCAGCACCCATTGCAGGAGAAATCGACTGAAGTTGTACCTCTGTTGGAATAAAAAAATAGCACAAGGAGCAGAACGACATGGAATCATGGCACCGGACAAATGAATTCTCATCCCAAACCCACCTCCCGGAACCCATCACCCCATACTAATTTCCCCACACCCATCTCCCCACACCCATCTCCCCACACCCATCTCCCCACACCCATCTCCCCACACCCATCTCCCCACACCCATCTCCCCACACCCATCTCCCCACACCCATCTCCCCACACCCATCTCCCCACACCCACCCCCCCATAACCATCTCCCCACGCTCACCCTCCCATACCAACCCCCCCATACCCATCTCCCCACGCTCATCTCCCCATAGCCACATCCCCCCATACCTCGTGCGGTGCTCGGCAGTGGTCGACCATACATCGCCCCCATCCACCCACACCATCTACTTTCGTACCGGCCATTAATCCCCCACACCCATCTCCATCCCCACATCTCCTATACCTCTCCCATCATGCTCGGCAGTGGTTGACCACGCATCCCCTCCATACGCCCACACCATCTGAGTTTCCCACATCCCCAAACCCATCTTTATACCCCCACACCCATCTCCTACCCCACATCTCCCCCACCTCCCATCATGCTGGGTTGTGGTTGACCACGCATCCCCTCCATACACCTACACCATCGGAACTTTCCACATCCCCAAACCCTTTTCCACTCCCCCAAACCCATCTCGATACCCCCACATCTCCCAATGCCAGCTCCCCCCTGTTAACTCCCATCATACTGGGAAATAGTCGACCACGCATCCCCCCCTTAAGGCCACACCATCTGACCATCTCCATAACCCCCACCCTATTCCAACTCCCCATACCCACCTTCCCATACCCACCATCCCATACCCAACGCCATCCGTACATCTCTCTTACCTCGCGTCATGCTGAGCCTTGGTAGACCAAGCATCGCCCCCATACGCCCACACCAACTGCGACCGCCCGTGGGGCTTCACTGCATGCCCAAGCACTCATCTCCCCGACCCCCCGTCACCCCCCCTACCTCGCATCATGCTGGCCAGTGGTAGACCGAGCATCAGCCCCATACGCCCACACCATCTGCGACCGCCCATGAGGCTTCACAGCAACGTGCCATACCCATTCCTATATCCCCGCCCCCTGCTGCTCATATCTCCCCCTGTTACCTCGCATCATGCTGGGCTGTGGTCGACCAAGCGTCCGCCCCATACGCCCACACCATCTGTGACCGCCCGTGAGGCTTCACAGCAACGTCCCCCCCGTCGCCAGACGATCTCGAGAACCTGCCAACATGGCCAAACGGTGGTCAACGGCGGTCAACGGTGGTCAACAGCCGTGATCAACAGTGGTCAAGGGTGGTCAACGGTGTTGAACCATTTGTTGGGGATTTACGTAGCCAGAAATAGTAATTGAATAGCCACCACCTACTTTTTTATTACCACTCACTTCATAACAGTGCCTTGCGACCTTGTAGTCTCTATCGAAGGAGACCCTATAGTGAAGCTCGTTGTAGCGCGGACGTTCGAATACCCGTCCAGAAAGAACCTCCCCGGGGTGTTGCTGCTCGGAACCCTTACAACCGCATCGGATCCGCCCATTTGCCCGTCCGGCGTCCACCCAATAGCGAACCAGCTCTTAGCGGAGACGCTTCCTGCCTTCGCCTGTAGCGCGAGCCGCAGGGTGGATCCGGTTGTAGCCACCCAATGGAGGGTCAGACTGGAAAACGACAAAGAGAGCGAGGCGGTGGGGGTGGGAGGTGGAAGGGGCGGAGATTTATTTCAGAGAGCCACGAGTGACCGTGAATGCATGGGTGTGATGACGGTTTAGTTATTATGAGGCAGAGGTTGAATTGTATGTAAAACGAAAGGTTTTTTTTTTTTTTTTTTTTTTTTGTAATACCCCATGAAGTATGCGCTGTTCTCGGGAGATTCGGACCAATTGTGAAGTTCGAGGCACACTATGTAGGCCGTGGTGCTTCAGCCAGCATCAAGAAAGGTGGAAAAGAGGAGGAAGGGGAGGAAGGTGCGGAAGGGGGTGAATGGGAGGAAGGGGAGGAAGGCGAGGAAGGCTCGTAAGGGGCGGAAGGGACGGAAGGGGAGGAATGATTTGAGAACTCTCGCCAGCCACTACGGATGTATTTTGAGACGACTCAAAATACACCTGGAGGGGACGTGATAGGGCGAGGAGGACGGGAGGACGGGAGGACGGGAATTGTATTAGTGAAATCGTTTTGCGGAACACGAGAGCGAGACAGGGTGTGCTCGTACCCGTTATAGAGTGACTTGGGTCGTCTGACACTGTAACGAGGTGATTATTGGGTCGTCTGACACTGTTATGACACCCTTTCAGCGGCGAGTGGAAATGAACTCGTTCATACTCGTCATAGAGTGACTTGTGGCGTGTGAATTACAACAAACTGACATTCGCGTCTAAGTCAAAAAGGACGGAAAGGAGGGTTGGTCATACCCGCCATAGAACGACTTGGAAGTAGTATAACCGGAGAGGCTGGACGGCTGGCATCGGCGGAACGCGCCCAGCACGTTGCGCAGTTGTGGCGGAAAAGCGCTCGCGGAACGCGAGGGAAGCGCGCTTTGAGTCGCCTCGTTGGAGTGCGCGGAAACCGCAGATTGCGCGGATTGCTCGGAGAGCGCGGGGAGCGTGGTTAGAGTAGCTTCAAGAGAGCGCGCGGACTGCGCGCAAAGCGGGTGCGCGAGCAGCGCAAGAAGCGGAATCGTAAGGCAGAGGAAGGACAGGCGGACAGCGTAGGATGACTGCGGGCGCGGGGAGCGCCGGCAATAGCTCGGCGGAAGGAGAGGTGCATTAATTCTAGTAAGATCGGGGGAGACAAGTCGGAATGGTGGATGCGGAATGGGTGAGGCAGAAAAGTCTGTACTTGTCGCACGGCCGCAACCGCCGCCGTGCGAAAACTTCTTCCTCGCACAGAACGTGTTCGCCGCACTGCGACGGCCTTCTCTGCCCGTCTGCGACGGCATCGTGTCGCCCGCGTCTACCATCGAGGTGTTTGTTAGTCGACTCATCTGCAGTCTTTCTGCGGGGCTCGCGCCCGTCTGCTGATTATCGAGGCGCCTAAAAATCGTTTGTCGTTGCTCCGCCGCTCCGCTGCGCGCCTTGCCTCAAACGCTACTTGCCTATCCTGCGCATGCTTGCGAGGGCTAGCTTATCGAGAGGTTTTCAAATGTCACTGATTTGAAACTCAAAGTCACTCCAGAGGGCTAGCTCCTTAGGAGGCTCTTATCGGCCGCTGTTTTTACAAGTTGCTGCGTGTGGAAAAGGCGAATGAGTTGAACGTGTGGAGTAGGGGGAATATCCTAGCTGACTGTTGTTGCTGCCTTGCCTGCTGCGTCATGACTTTGCTGTTGCGTCTTACGCGAATGTTCTGAGGGTCGCGAAGCGTCCCGAACAGAACCTTCCCGAGCTCGGTAGAAAGCAATTCGGTGGAAACCGAACAGACTTGAGTTCGCCCTGACTACTGATGCTGCTTCTAAGGACCAAGGTACTGACGGCTGCAGGGTGATATGCTGGCGCAGACGTGTAAGTGGGGTGAGGCTACTGCAAAGCTTGGGGCGAGCAAGCATCGTGGGTTGAAATGTTGGTGTTAAAACCCGCAGGCCAAGAATTTCAACCTTAGGAAGGTTGGTTGGGAGTGAAAACGCAAAAGGCCTGCGAACCAATAGGAGTGTCCGAAATGTTGGACGAGGTCTAGAATTCGGGAATGATCACAGGCATTTTTGGGACATCCAACCAACGCTAGGAAGGATGAACCAAATTTGGCCTTCTTGGCCTGCGGG